TTTTCCAACAAATTTTATTCATATGGAGAAAATATATATATATATATATATATATATATATATATATATATATATACTACAAATTTTCATTTGATTGTGTGTGTCTATATATATATATATATATATATAACTGGCTATATTATTGTCGTACTATATGATGTAATCGATGACATGCTATAAAATGGTTTAGCTGTACGATCGAAAAGGAATTGGAAAAACTAAATTAAATGCTGCGTAAATTAATACCTGCAGACTTTTTTCCATTCTCTGCTTTCTCATGGTATCATATTATCTGTCTTATACGAGTTGTATTTTCCGACAAAACCATATGCATGCTCCAAGCTGCCAACAACATCCCATGGACCTGCCCATTGATTATTATTATTATTATTATTATAAAAAGAAAAGGGTACTAATTTCATCAACAGTGAATTATATATACGGCGCTTGTACTCATTTCACCAACTTTCAGCGTATACGATCCGAAGATAGAATTCCTATCTTTTCCGAAAAAAAGAAGAAGACCAGAAGATAGGGAAACGTACGGAAGCATTTTCTTGCTTACCATGACTATCAATGTGAACATAGTTGAAACAGAGCCTACAGCCTACCATGCTAGTAGACACTTTCAATTCACATTGTAGGAGCCAAATATAGGAAGGAATAAAAGGATGACCAGTGCATGGGAACAAAGGGACAAGATGATGAGGAAGGGCTTTGTTCCAACTTAACTGGGTGCTGTTATTTGACAGCCTTTTCTTTTCATTCTTTTTTTATTGTTGTTCTATCATGAATCTTGGATTGCCTAGTTAATTCTAAAAAAAAAAAATCATTCAAAATATTCCTCACATTTTGCTAAATGAGTTTTTTGGCCATTCACTTTTAAAATAGTAAATTTACATCTTTTACATAATTAAGTCAATAAAATTTAGTTTCGCTCTAAATTTTCGACCATTTTTTACCTTACTTCCATCTTGTGGCCAAAATATGATCAACTTTTTTAGGGGTAAGAAGATTAGATGCCATTTGTAGTTAAATAAATGGTCTGATCCATATTCACTATTGTTGTAAAAAAAAAAAAGGATTTGACTTGAATTATACTTATTTTTTTAATAAAAAAATGGAATCTGACCTAATTTATATTCATTTTTGTCATTGAAAAAATGGGATTCGACATTTTCGCATACAAAAAATAATTGTACGTCAGCCACGTAGCGATTCTAGACTAAAAAGTTATCGAAAACTTAGATTGAAATTAAATTTTATTAATTTAAATTTGTAAGCAATACAAGGAGAGATAAAAAAAAATTCATTTGATGAAATATGAGACATATTTAGAACGATTCTCCCTTAATTCTAATGTAGAACATTTGATAACGAATGGCATTGTGGAAATTAATTAAAAGCCTTATGGAGCTGCATCCATGTGCTAAGGTGCGCTTTATTCCTTTTGTTTTTCGGTCGGCAAAGAAACCTCTGGCCATCAATATTACTCCATGAGGACTTTGTCAGCCTTTACTTTCTGCCTCCAAAGAGTGTATACGAGAGACGTCCAGACCCACTTGTTTTGTCTAACATGCAACAGCCAATGATACTTTTCGCATTTGGTATAGTACATTGTGTTTTCATGTACTAATTCCGTTCTCTCTCTCTTTTTTTTTTTTTTTCCGTTTGTCGTTTCCTCTCATGTCCGGCGTGCCAAATGACGTCAACTAGAAACGCTGAGTGTTTTTCAGTTTTTAATAGGTTGGTTTTTAATAGGTTGGACAAGTCCGTCTACCGCTCATTCTTTCTTCGCTTGGCCCTCGTTTGGGAGTGGAGGATTTGGACAGAAAAGAAAAGAAAATAAGAAAAAGTTAACTTTTCCTTCATTGGTTAGTTTTTAGTAGGAAAGAAAAAAAGGAAAATGGAAGGATTTAAGAGGATGAATAGTAGGCACTAGACAAAATTTTTCCTCTCAAATTGGAGAGAAAGTTGGAGGAAACTTATGAAAATTTTTTAAAATATCTATTTTATCCTTAAAAATATCTTGAACAAATATTTAATGACTTTCATATCCAAAATTATTCCACTAATTTTCAAAACTCTCAAACAACATAATAATAATCCCTTCTCTTCTCTCCTCTCGTAACTTAAGTTTTCCCTTCTTCTCTTTTCTATCCTAAACTCCCAAACTTAGCTTGATTTAAAATTTTATCAAAGGAGCAATTTCGCTAACACATGTTCGCTCTGTCGGTCCACTTCCTCACTAATGACCAAACTAAAGGCGCTGTTGAATTGAAGCCTCAAGGCTGTATGGATAAGTAATCTATAAATGCTCATATGAGTTATTTGTGGCCTGGAGACATACCTTACCCTGTATCAACCAAAATTAAGACTTTGTTTAATAATTCAATTCAACACTTAAATTTAATAAATTCAAGTCTTAATGTGTTCAGATACATTTAATAACTAGAAATTGAATATTTAAATTAATTAAGTGCCATTGAATCTCCTAAACAAAATTTATTCTAAAAATTAAGTGATAAGCTATTTGCTTATCACTGAATGTGATACAGACTCAAATGTATTAGATTTAATATTTAATAATTCAATAATTTAATGGATTCAAATTTTAGATTTCAATTTTATCAAACGCACTCTAAAACCATTATAGCTTAAAAAAAAAAAAAAAAAAAAGAGAGAAAGGGGTAACTTCAAGAAATCTCCCGCTTACTTTTCCATGTTTAAGAAACAAAGCAGGGCAGGGGTGTTAAAAGGATACCCAATGAACCGAAAGAAAATAAATCGCAGTCGGTTTGGGTAGCGGTTTGGTGATTTTGGCACTTACCCGAATGGGTTCGTTTATATGGCCAATTAACAAGTCCCGCGATATTTTTAAGGTGTTGAAAATCAAAGTATACTTATGACAATCGCTTCTGAATAAATAAAATTTTGTATTCAATTTTATGTTGTTGTATCGTTTCACTAGTTTTTTTTTAACTACAAAACTTAGTAATCTTGGATTGCCTATTATAAAAATCAATAAGACGTTATTTAAAGAATACAGACAAAAAATAAAAATATGAATTGTTTGATTACAAAAGCAGAAGTAAGAGTGGGAAGTGGAAAATGGAAAACGGAAAGCATTATAAAAATTTTTTGTTTTCAATGATTTGAATACCTGTACGATCCCAACGGACGGGTATTGGTGAATTAGTGGATTTCCGGCAGGCTTGGGCTACTGAAACCGCTACCCCTCATCTGGCCCAACTATTAAACCTCAATCATGTCCTACAAAACATACCACCTGCCCAGTCTCCAGTGGGCTGATGAGACAGACATTTCAGGAGCCTAATCACAAAGTTTGCACCCACACGACAAATCTGTTTGGGACATGTTGCCCAAAAAAAGAATTCGTTTTTACTCGAAAATCTATCCAAAAGAATATCTTGGTCAAAAGTCAAATTTCTTTTTTTTTTTTTTTAATCACAAACTGATGGGCAGAAAGGTGTCAATCTTGGGACAAGGGGCGTGGACGGTTGCAGCCGTCTCAGCGGTTTTGGTCATTTTCAACGGCGCGTAATTTTAATTGTATACAAAGTAATTTTATTTGCACAATATGTAATTTTAGTACAAAATTTTGCAAGCTTTACACACGGTGTTAAAATCGATGTACAACTTGTGATCTGAATCATACAAATTTTTTTGATCAAATCATACCCACTAACTAACTGTGCAGGGACGGTCTGTCCATCTTAAACTGGGATGTCGGTGAAATGAAATCAACCTTATCTTAAACAGTTCTGCCTATTACCTGTTTGACAGGAAACTTGACAGACCCCCGAATTTCCCTGGATTTAGAAACTTTGGAAGTTTTTTTTTTTTTTGGAAACTTTAACTTTAGAATTTTGACCGAACAAGTCTCAACGGGAGTAATTAAAATTTCTAGCGACCAACTTACTTGCCAAAGGCCAACAATAAGGTGGCAAGGAAAGAAGTCCATCCAGTGTACTAGATTTTAATGCCGAAAGCAAAAATCATTCGAAGTGCTGCCTAAAATACGATATACTCGAGCAATGGCTGTGATACTATTATTATTATCAGGGCAATAATCATTTGAAGTGCTATTTAAAATATGAGCTCGCCCATATGGAGCAGTTAAAAATCACCATATACACTTGAGCAACGAGTGGCGATATTGTCAGGACAATAATCTTTTTATCAAAGCAAAATTTACTCAAAATGTAGAGATTATTTTCAATTAATCAAGTTCATAGATTTTTCTTGTTCCATTAAGCACTAATTACTCATCTCTCCATTTTAAGTTTTTGCCCTGCTCTTTTACTCTCCTTATTTTCTACGTCGCTCGCTCATTAATTAGTCAATTATTTTCGTGACTTACTAATTTGATTTTGGCTTTAATATTTTTTTCCTTAAATATTACACCAACCCTCTTCTCTCTCCCCTTATGTATATATATATATATATATATATATACACACACACACACTAGCGGTAAGGGCACAATCAATGTGTATGCAATTTCAAAACAATTAAAATGAAATAATTTCATATGAAATTTGTTTTTCGCATAAACACAATTTATATAAAAGAACTTTGATCTATAGGGTTATAGTAATTTGGTAGTTGCAATACTTAAGGCGATAGTGAATAGTTATTTTGATAAAATGTGATTATCAAGATACTATTAAACGCTAAACATAAACATGAATCTCTAAAATAAAAAAAGTAAATTAATTTTTAATTTAAAATTAATAAATAAATTATGCGGGTGTGCCTCAATCATCAGGGGAAACGGATTATCATAGAGCAAAAAATGATTAAAGCAAATGGTGGGTCCGTCGCAAAAGAAAACAAAAAATGGGACCCCAATCGAGAGAATGTGGCGGTGGCGAGTGAGTTTTCATTTTTACGTTTTTTGTTTGGAAGAATTATATATAAATATTTGTTGGAAAACTTTTGTACTCGTGGCAAAATTATTAGAAACTCAATGGAGACGCAAACGCGAGAGAGGGGAATGAAAACAGGCTGACCGGGTGGGCTGGTAAAAAAAATTGTTTATTTCCGGTTTTCCAGAGTCCAACGGCTACAGAGGAGGAGGAGGAGGAGAAGAGTCTTTGGCCCCTCGCAAGTGAGAAGTCTCCACCTACGTAGCCCTTCTTCTAGGGTTTTGTTTTACTCTCTCTTCTTACCCAACGCTTCCCAATTTCCCATTTATTTAAGATTTGTTCGTTCATCCAATTAGATAACTGAAATAATTTAGTATTTCTGGTTTCCAGAAATCAAATCCCCATGTTTCCTTCGCATTTACCTATTTTTATTCCATTTCTTTTCTTCAAATTATTTTCTTTTTATGCTATTTTAATCCTATTGCACAGATCATCATCATACCTTATGAAAAAGCCATAAATTCTCCGATTAGCTGTAGCTTTACAGGTACTTGTGGCTTTTATTTTTTATTTTTTTAAAATTATGTCAAGGTTTTCTTCCCTTCTATATTTTGATGTCTAATAATGCTTGCAGCATAAGGGATTGTGTAGTCCTGGATAGCTGTGCATAATTATTACACTTATCCTAGTTTGTATTAGTTCATTTATTTGGCATCTTCTGGATTTGGGCTCTTTTTTTTTGGTTATTATTCAATTCTGGACTGTTGGTTTCCGTGGATCATGGCTGTAAAGTTTTAGCTATACGTTTTTTTCCCTTTGTGTTTTATCCATGCTAAATTGATGAAATTTTGGTTTATTTTGTATATCAACGTAATAAAGGAGCTATTAACCAGCCAAGGAAGGGTTCGAATCCTGTGGCAATTGGGGGTGGGAAGGGTGGGAGGGTAAAAAAAAAAGTGTACCATGATGTGTAATAAAGGAGCTATTTTTGTTCTTAAGTTTTGAACTTGGAAGCTGGAATTGGATGAGCCTTAATGATTTGCTATCCTAAACTGCATGACGCTTGTGAGTGCAACTAAAACTTAGGGAAAAATGACAATTGTTTTTCTTCATCGCACACACGATCATATGGTGTCTTGACTCTTCTTGCTATTGATTTTTTACCCAATAGAATGGTTTTTTTCCTTCATAGTTTGATTACTTGTCATCTCAAGTGAATTGTTAGTTTGTTAGCAAGCCATTTCTTGCCCATGTTGTCTTTTGATATATATTTATTTAGGTAATGGGAGAGCCGAGATAGATAGTGAGGCGTATATTAAGGCAACAGTGAAGTCCATGAGTACGAGTTCAGTGAACTTGAAACTGTTTTCCATATTTATGCATGGGAACATTTTAAAGAAATATTGGGTCATAATTTGGGAGTAGTTGATTTTAGATAAGTTAATGTTTCTTTTGTATTTGAGAATCTTCTTTCACATGAAATTCCTGTTAAGGGTGACTTTTCTTAAGAGCTTGTTTTAGTTGTTTTACTCCATCATGCCCTTTTCTCCTGCGTTTAATTTTGTTGGAGGTTGTACTTGTAGTCATCTTTTGTTGATCAGTATCCTATGTATAGATTGATGGTATTCCTTGTAAAAGAGGGTGGCGGGCTTTGTATCTTCTATTGTTGATTAGTACTTGAGTGGAGTCTGATGGTTTTGTCTTGCAGTAGCTGTTCATCCTGTTTCTTTTGAGACGTTGGATTGTTTCTGCTTCTTTAATCCATTTGTCTGTTCTTACATAGAGGATTAAGTGTTTTGTCACCTGCTGTATATGGACTTCTATGCACATTTATGTTCTGTATAATCACTTCTTGTATTCTAACGCAGTGAGCAAGTTATCTTTCCGTGAAACTCATTCTTTTGCAGTAAGAATGCCATGTGACGAAATCTTGAAGGCTGTTTTCCCACTTCTTGAAGGTGCTGATCTGGCTAAATGTATGGTGGTTAATAAACAGTGGCGAGAGATTGCTCAAGATGATTATTTCTGGAAATGCCTGTGTGCCAAGAGATGGCCAGCAATATGTAAACGGCCGCAACCTCCGACAGTAACCTACCACAAACTTTTTAAAACCTTTTATAAGCGTCAACATCGCCGGGCACTTCTCCCTCCTAGGCTGTCTTTAAATGACTTGGAATTCTATGTTGACATTTGGACTGAGGACCGTTTAATCTTCTCGGAGGTAGTTCCTGGACCTACCCTCCAGAATGGAATTTGGATCCCACCTCCTGGAATCTGTGATGTGCTTAAGTATCACTTGGAGGGTTCAGGGTATAAGATGATTCTACCTGTTGAGCCAAGGTTTACCATTCCATTGAGTCACTCAGTTTCCGTATCTGTGCTTGTAGTGCGCAAGGATTCCAACAAAGTTGCATGCATAATTGACAAATCTGTGTTTGACTATATAGACCGGACAGCTTATCGGGCTCTAGCATTTGACTACCTTGATATTTCACCTAGCAACCCTTTTGTTTCTGAGATTCGAGCATGGATCTCTTTGTTATTCTTGGATAATGGCAATAATGAAGGGATCATTGATGTTTTTGGTATTGAGTTGGATTTCTGTGATGCTGCCAACTCAGAGGAAGAGGTCCTCTGGCTGCTAGACATTCTTGATTGGAAGTGAAGGGCTGGGTATCTGCTTTCTAGTCTGAACACCTTGCTGCTGAAGATCAAATCTAACCTGGTTGGTGTTGGTTCTTTCAAATCCAAAGTTTGTATATATGTCCCTGTCAATGGTCAATAAGTATCCTGGAAAGCTTTTGATGTTGATCTCTTGTTTGTAACATGCCGAGCTCTGTTTTTCTTGGGCTATCAAAGAGTTCCTGTGGGAAGGGAGTCTTGCTTATTTGTGCTTGAAAATTTCCAAGTTCTGTGGATTAGCTCTTGTATTAGGTTATTGGATGCATTGATCAACGAAAGCTGCATTGTACTGGTATCAAATGTTTGCTTGGCATTAGCCTATGCATCGTTATTGGGTAATTAAGAAGTTTCTCATTCGTTGGGTGTATATCCAAATAATGGACCGTGAACTGTATCTGCTCTGGACTCCTGTTAGGTTTCCTCTCGATGCTATGATTTACTTTAGATCTTTAAATGTCTCATGGTAAAAGTTGGCTTTGTGGATGATATTTGGGTTCGCTGAATATTTTGTTTTATCCAATGGAATGTCTCTCAGTTACCGCTCTTGGTGATCATTTGTTTTTTTTTTTTTTTTTAAATTAACAGTTAACGTCTGCTCAGGTTGTAAAATATCTAGGCTTGATTTCGTAGGTCGGAAGCTTGTGCCTCCCTGGGTTTTAGTGGCACAAGAATGTTGGGAATAAGAGGGTTGGGTCAGTTTGAACTTGGCTCGCTCGATCCGAGGAAAAATCCAATGAGTCCAACCTTTTAGTGAGTTGATTTGAGGTTGAACTTAAAAATTAGGTTTGAATTAAATATGAGTCGAGTTTTGGTCTAATTAGGTTCAAATTCGATATAGATCTGACATTTAAATTACCTATATAAAATAATAGTTATATATAATATTTATATTTTGATATTATATATAATTATATATTCAAATATATTATTACTAAATATATTTTGATATTATATACAATTATATATCTAAATACATTATCTATAATTATATTTTGATATTATATATAATTATATATATAAATTACAAAACATAAAAATACAATTGAAAACTCCTTTATTAGTTTTCTTGAGAGTTAATATTAGTAATGTATTACTGAAATTCTAACTTTTTTTTATTGATTGAGTAAATTTTTGTACTGGCATAATATTGGTTGATTTCTTTTTTTGTCCAAAAACACAAATCATAAAGCTTGTTTTGATTCAAGCCACAAAGTTATGAAGAAGTTCCAGCCTTTGAAGATGTATTGGATTTATGATCATAAATTTTATTATTATTTTTCATGTACTTTAAACGAATTAGATATAAATATTGTTGAAAAATTCTTAGTATATGTAATTTTTAAGAACTATTACTTGTTCATATTTAGTTTTAATGTTATAGTTCTGTTAATTTTAAATTAATTTTACAACTCAATAGTAATTATATTAAAAAAATTAAGGAGTAATAAGTGAGTTTAAATTAAGTCCGAATATTTGGTGAACTAAATATGATCATCACATTTATTAACCCAAAAATCCAAAAATGTTACAAATTAAATAAATTGAGTCTAAACTTAATAAAAGTCCGACTCATTACAAGCTTAGTTGAGGTCTTCTAATTTAATTTGGTCAAGTCTTCTCAACATGCTAATACCAATTTTACCAGGGGCACTTGACTTGGCTTAATGTACGGTGCAAGTGAAGACATCCCTTTCAAGATTCTCAAAGTTCCCCAGGGTGTCAGATAGGAATGAAAACGAGAAATTTAAGGTTTTGACCATTTATCGAGTCGTAACATAAGCTACCGTTATTTGGTATATCCATTAATACAGAATTGTACGCTTGAGGAACATGCACGAGTTCAAATATCAAAATTCTGACGGACTTCCATAATTCAACTGAAATTAATAAAAACTGGAATCTCTAAACTACTTACTCAGGCATTTATTAATTAAGCAACATACATAAAAATCAATAAATATTAATCTGGAAGAAAATGGCCCAAACAGACGTACCATTTATAGACGCTGTCAAAAGGTGAGATCCGCCATGGCTGCTTAAAAGCAACCAGCATCTCGACATTGAGGATCATGATACCTTTAAAAACGGTGCTGTGGATTATCTGGAAGGATTCGTTCACCTGTGAAAGGGTCAAATTTGTATGGTTCGCCAGTCAAAGGGTCGAATCTGATTTGGGGCCGACGAGGTGGACGATCAGCCATTTCTGTTATTTGGGGATCCAACGTCAATCTTCCGCAAGGCTGCAAAGGTGAAGAGCTCGCCTCTTTTGTTAGTTCAACCGATTCTCGAGTCATTATGGGATAGTCGGAAACTAATGCAGAATAGCGGGGCACATAGTTGCCTGACCTGCAAAGAACAACCCATGAACTGATAGCACCAACACCTTTAAAAGGCATGGTAGACCTATTATTCAATAAAGCAGAGCATTAACATAGCCACAAGTTCCTACAATTACTTCCCCATGTTACATGTAAAAGCAAAAGTTCCATTGTCAGATCATATTAGTCAAGACGACAGCTTCATATCTACTTCTTGTCGAGAATGGCATATACAGAAATAGACGAGACAAGAAAGTTCATATTTATTATTGACAAAAGTTTGAAAGGTATGTTCGATCAATGCACCAAATATTGGCATTAGAACAAAGACACCTCCGAAATAAAAATAAAAAATAATTTTTTTGGGAGAAAATCTTGAACGATCATCAATTCAGAAAATATTTTAAGTGGAAGAAATGCAACACGTGCAAGAAGCCCATTGCAAGGGATAAAGAAGATAAGCCAACACAAGCCATGAAATCAAGTTCAAGAAAAGTATGAAACACTAACCTGGGCACTGACAAGTATGCAGGTGAGGCAAGAGAATCCACAACTGGGAAATGGACTTGACTAATGAAGCTGGAAAGCAATCGAAAATCAGGAAGTGGTGGAAAAGATTGCACCTTGTAATACCCATAGACTTAGGTACTGCAACCCATCCAGGGGAACTGTTCTAACAGATGGTGGCTTATCAAGATTTATTGTGCTGGTAGTAATTATAAGGAAAAGGACAAACCTAGACCGTGTCGAGCCCACATGAGGGATAAAAGAATCATCAACTGGCAAATGAACTCTACTGGAGAAGCTGGAAATAGCCACATCACTCTTAATAAGATCTCCTACCCTTGACAAACCACCTGGAGATCGACCCAGAAGCAGCTGGTCAACCTGATGCTACATCCAGAAGATAAGTTGTTCAATTAATCACTACTGCATGTCAACAGTTGCAAAACCAAAAGCATCAAATGCCTAATATGATTGCAGGACAAATACCCTAGAAATTAATGCGGCAAGATAAACTCCTCTGTTTTCTTTGTCTGCTCCTGATAACATAAACTATAGAGGAAGACATGAGAAAGTAATTATCGAAGTAATTAAAAAAAAGCAGCTTTAAATATTCAAATTCCAACTGTAAATACACAAAAGACGAGATATGGATATATCTAATAGTTGATAATTTGAATAATTCACACATTTTGACAAAGCTGAACCTGGTCAAGGACAGATATAGCAGCGGATTCAGGTAGTTTTTTGAGACTGGTCAAGTTTTGAATGTCAATCTGCCAATTATAACACATCAAACTTTAGGCGGAATACAGCAATAATAGCTAATACGGTGACCTCAAGAGCTCATACTTTCTCAGTTGTCATTATTGAAAAGACTGAAAGAACTTTGAACAAAACTTATTGAAGGAGAATGCACAGAACAAAACCAAACAGCAAGCCAATGGAAAGTTTTTAAGCAAATATACTATATAACTTCATCATGATTTTCCATAAGAATAAACAGAAAATGGACACTAATGAATTATAAATATCATCAAACAAAATTACATTCAACGCTTATAATATCTATCCAAACAATAAGTGCACCAGATCTATGTACATGTTATCATTCAACAGACTAATAACTAAATATTTCAGTAGCCAATTAATTGCTCATTCTTTGCTAAGTGCCCAATTGCTTCTCACCTAAAATATAGCATAACATGTTCCTGCCTTGACTTTCGGAGTAGCAATACCAGTGGGCTGCTCTCTAATGTGAAATTCTTTGAAGCAGCAGGATATACAATCAATGCACACCATTTTAAGGCAATAAAACTTTACAATCTAACTTGGAACTTTAACAGCACATGCAGTTAGATTTCAAGTTACTTCATCAGATATATTCGTAATGTCTTTAGTTCATGAAGATCTAACAGATGATATTGATTTGGAAGTCAGCTCCACCCAATCAAACAGGACTTCTGGATGTTTTTTGTAAGATGCAAGCAAAAAATTTACAGCATTCAAGTCAATTTAACATTTCTCACTAAAGCTCCAGCAATATAATGATGTCTAACAAAGCATTAATATTAAAGCTTACATTTAGCTCTAAAACTTACATCAAATCGAGTAGCAATACCAAGTCGCAATATCCTAAGTAGCCGTTCTCTGACGCTTAAAGGTAATAACAGTACAGCCACTTCATAAGGATCCTCATACTCAACTTCCTGATGTCACAATGAAAAAGAAACACCAACTTCAGTTTAGCTTAATTCAGTTATCAGAATTAACAACTTGACAACTAAAAATTGATGACAGGCTATCCAAATTTTCAAACAGTCTCCACACTTTGCAACCAAAATCTATCATATGCAAACAGGGAAATAAGGTCAACTCGCCAGCTATAGCTCAATCCTGGCCGAACTGCATAACCATTCCTGCATTTCGTTATTTCTATTTCTTTCACATGACATGAGCATATCAAGCAACAATATCATCTACAATTGCTCAGGTAAATTCAACTAAACAAGACAACAAGGGATACCTGGACACAGGAAAAAATTTGAAAACTAGAATATCATTTCACAAAGGAACAAGGAGAGCTAGACTACCAAAGGTTAAAAGCAAAACAATTATGTTAAAAGAAAAACGCACCACTGACAAAAATATGTCATGCATCCCATTTCCAGGTGCATTTAGATTAAAAAACATCAGCCAACAGCACAGCACCATACATGCATATTATGGAAACAAAGTGGGTTGTGAATGCAATCAATGTTTCTCCCCTCAACTTTCAGATCCATGTAATTTCTGAAATTTAAAAACCTAGTTTTTTGGGGCCTATTATTTTTCCAGAGCATTTCACTAAATGCTTAGGATTCCAGTCAAGTATAGTTTTCTTCATAGTCTGCTTGTTCTGTGAAACCAATGCTTGCCAATTTGATTTTCAGAACCATAAAAGCACATGTCTAGGTATAAAAGGCTCACTTTGTAGGAGGTGAAACAAGATAAATCTAGAGGTGGCAAAATGGATAAATGGTTTTTCTTAAATGGTTGGTGGATGCAATTAATCCAATCCAATTACAACCGTTAAACAAATGAATCTAAATGGATAGGATTTAAATAGATACAGCAAAACCACAATCCACCCATTTAACAATTTAACAGTTCCAATGGCTGCACTCACAGCACTTTCACATCTTTTCATTGGTGATCTTTTTGAACTTCAGGAAATATAATAGCTCTCTGTCTACAATCCAAACAAATTTCTGTACTCCTTGTTCCTTGGACTTTTTCTCATTTTCAGAAGCTGTTTCATAAAAATTTTTTGTGTACCTTTTTTCTGCATTTCTTGTTTTTGCTTTTCCCTTACAATTCAGAACACACACACACACTCTAGTGAATCTTTATTCATGCTACATCATCCCGGTTTGGAGTTAAATTCCAAAGTTTACACATGTAGCAGTTGCCAGTGTATATGCAATCAGTGTATAAAAGATTTACCTATGTATAAATTGATTCACCACTCTAATTTACGCTCCACATTTATTGTTTCCTAATTAACTTGGAAAAAATTTCCTTGGGTCCAAATCTCCAATAGTTAAGATTCCAAAATTACTTTAGTTGTATTGCAAATAAATCAGCTTATACTTTTACAATAGAAAATTTTGCATGGATTATGTTACCAATAAGAAACTCATGTCAATTTTGAGTTTCAACATGACATAAGCTAGTCACGTATAATTAACAATGGACATTTTAAATTTCTTGTATAATCAATGAAAAACAAAACACAAGACGTTAGATTCTTATGAAAGAATTCATTAGAAAATATTAGAATTTACAGTTCGGCTAATGGGTCATTAAGACTAAGAAAGGTCTCATGTGTTAGTTTTTTTAAATAAGTGTATCTAATTCGGGAAAGTGTCACAATTCAGTGGGTGCAATAAATATGAGTGCGTGTATTTACATAGTAATTCAGATGTGATTTAGGTGTTTTAACGAGTGCCCATTGGGCACCTATTACAAAGATCCTATAACTTAACCCTAAAACTCTAGATTACTAAAATTGTCCAAATTTATCCCATACCTCCACCAGAAAACTAGTAGTAGAAATTTGACCATATGAATGTTATCTATAAATTCTCTGACTTGAACTGTATCCTAATATTGCCATAAAATTTAGATAAAGCATCTTATTGGAATCTATATATATATATATATATATATATTTATATGAAAGTAGCTATTTTAATCACAGTCTTTCTCACTCCTATGTGGCATGCCTAATTGAAGAGAATTAACGGATTATGGGTTACTTGGATTTTACCCATATTGAATCCTATTTGAATTATATTACATGTTTAAAAATTATCTCTAATTTTAAAATAATTTTAAAAAACAACTAATCTTATCTTAATGGTATCTGCTTTCTATCAAATTATTACAATGATTACATTATATGCTTAAAAATTATCTTTAATTTTAAAATAACTTTAAAAAATAACTAATCTTATCTTAATGATATATGCTTTCTACCAAATTATTACATAGAAATATAGTAAAACCTTTTTAAATAACAATTATTGAAATCTTACATATCCCATGAATTACTTCCTGTCATCACCATATCATTGATTAGTATTCAAATTGTTTATCATCTTTTCTTAATTTTGAATTAACTTAGTGTAAAAAAGAAAATTAACTGTTACACCGACAGATTTACCAATATTATTGAAAATTGAGTATTTATTGAACTTGAAAAATGGATTAATCGATTTTTTTCTACTTAATTAAGTATGAATATATAATTCTAGGTTTATGGTCTTTATAAAAATTTAAATTATCTAAAAGAATATTTATAAAAAAAAGAATATCTACCAAGTCTTGGATATGGGGTACATTATTTGATATATACTATCATATTATAGTGAAAGAATGTAAACAAATTTTTAAAAATTAGTAAATAATTGAACATTAAAATTAATATGAATGAGCATGTAGAACTGTTGTTAATTTTTATATTTAAATTATTCATATTTGTATAAATTCACAATAAATAAATAAAAAAGACCGTGCTAAGGCATGGGTAAAATTCTAGTAGTTAATTGAAAAAAAAAATTGTAGCAAAAAGGTGAACCTTTTGCTTTCAAGGAGTTCAGTACTTGAGAATGTATATAGTGGAAGAACACATAATTAGCAACTAAGGGGAATTATGAAAAGAGATGAAATAAAGCCACAAAAACAAAAGGATTTTTTCACTGTATTAATAAATTGACAAGGCTTCTTATCAACATTTTGACTGCTGTTTTTTAATTCCCAATCTCTCCAGACTTCCAATTCTTGTGATGTCTTTACTGTGTAGAACCCACTTTAACGGTGATGTTTTATCATTAAAGCTAGTATTACAGACCCACAACGAAAGTAACAGATGTACAGCTGGGTTGGCGTGAAGCCATCATTGTATAGGGTTAAATCTACTTTGCTAGTCCAAGCCTATTCTTTCTTTGATAGGTGGATTTATATGGATGACATGGTAATCCATATAAATGTACTTGTGTGGTTGGGTTTAAATGGTCATCCATGTAAAGTCATTAAATTTTTCTTAATCATCCCTATCCATTTAAGCTTGGTTTATTTGGATGGATAAATGGATATGGATCCAAGTTGCTACCTCTACATAAATCCTAAGTTTGGGAGCTTTCATGTGTACAATTTGCTCTACCAAAGCCAGATTATGAAGGATAAATAACTAATGTTAGACATGGAATGGCAGACTCAAGCTCTAGAGGTGCATTACCTTTTGAGCCACCTTTTGCGAACCAGATGTACAATCACTGGACAAAGGAATTCCCAAATTGGCACTTGGGGTGTGACTTGGAACCTTATTTGCTTTTTTCTCGTGTGAGTCGTCACGTAAGCGCTTCTTGCTTCTGTCAATTGGCCTTGCTACTTCTATCTGTTACCAAACAGTAGTTAACCCCAATAAATCTTATTCGGAATAACCCTAATACATCTCACTAATATGAATTCACTCCTGCAGTTGAATCAGTAAGTGATCTAAAATAAGAGCAGCTTTAATTACCGAAAGCATAGACGTTGGACCTCCTCTAGGCCATTGTACTGTCTTCCCATTCATTCCCCTTATAGCATTTTCAAGATCCTATTATCATAATTGAGAAAACGAGTCATGTAGTTAAAATCACATTCCCGCCAGACTAGATTCTTTATTTTTTTTGACAAAACGGTTGCCACTTAACTTGAAAATACCACGCAAAAATTCAAACACCATGAGTTCAAGTAAAATTGATACTGCATTTTCATTGGAAAGAGGACATCATGTCAAAACAAAAAAAAAAGGAAAAACCCACACTGAACCTTTCTGAGTTATACATTCAAATCATTTTGCTAGGTAAGAATGCCAGCCAAAATGATTTGCAGTTCTAACTTCCAATTAAAAAGGGCAGCATTAGAGGAGAAACTGGAAGCAATAAGAATGTATTGCTAACCAGGTCAAACTTCAAACAGCTATAAATAGACAAGTCTAGAGTACAATTCAACCATGATGGGTGTGTGTGTGTGAGAGAGAGACAGAGAGGGGGGGTCGGGTGAAAGAAATGCAATAGAAATCAAAATCCCCAAAATCTGTAAGCGCCTTGAAGAAAAATATTCAATACTTATAGTGGACATGAAAATTACTGAGCCTCATGACCTTTACTATCCTGGAATCACTATCAACCTATTTACTACTTATCATGCCAAATGAAACAACTGTTAGCCTAGCAATTTACTTTCCTCAAACCACCAAGATGCTCATTCTGTATTTCATTGTTGTCAGTTCCCTCCATCTTTTTTTTAATAAACCTTCAAATGACTCCTCTAAAAAAAGTAGAATTCAGTTGACACAATAAGATGCACACTTGTTCATAACATAGAATAAAGAAATCCCGTTCGCCTTAATTCCCCCTGGCAAAAGAAATTACCATACAAGTCATTGCAATTTTAGACATACTCAGAAAATATGTCACAACACTGAACTGATGTATGCCAGATATATGAAGAGTAATAAAAGGCCAACTTACTGCTCGTTTGGTAAAGTGGACAAACCCAACAGGGGAGCTACCCTTTCTCCACAGCACTACTTTTTCTATCTGAAAGCATGATGATTTCAGCATCAATCATCAATTGAATCACCAAAATTTCAAATTCAAGTTGCAATTAACCAACCTCTCCGAAAGGCTCAAATAATTTCTTCAAATAGTTTTCATCAGCACTAAATGGAAGGTTCCTGATAAATGCAATTTTGATCTGAAATCGCAGAGAGTTCTATGGTAAGACATCAAAACACGAGTTGAAGACAGCATGCCTTAGAAAAAGAAATATGTAGTTCAAGGACCTTGGCTAGGGCAGCTGGATCAATTTCAGGTTGATCCTCAACCCATTGAACAGCTGGATGCAGATTACCACCAAGCATAAAATCTGCTTTCGAACCAACCCGAAATGCCCTCGCAGCGGCCTGTTTTTGAGAATTTTGAAGGAGGCAGGTTCAAATTTCTGAATCAACTATAGTCTTTGGATTTTGTAAGCTGGAGAATGTTATATCTAAATTAACAAGGTAGAGATTTTGGATTCATAATCTTCCCTCATCTGTATTTATTCTTATGATTAGATTCGAAGTGGAAAGATTGCATAATCAGAAGCATTATATTGATTGGCAAAGATGCAGAAATCATGCATCAACAACCAAGGTTATTTTTTAGCTATCTTGAAATAATCTTAACAGAATTGAACAGGGATGCGAAACTACCTCACGACAAGTTTAATCATAAAGCATCTTGCTTAAGAGGATAAGAAGTAGAAGAGACCTAGTCCAAATCAGAAGTTCAAAGAAATATACTCAAGGAACAAGGGTTCATGAAAAACTTCAGGTAGAATCAGAAAAAGCTATGCCAAGCATTTGGAAGAACAAAAAATAGGTGACATCAGATTCATAACGCAAGTGATTTTAAAAAAGAGATGGGACATCTTACTGATATAGTTTTTGACAATTCAAAGATATTAATCCAACAAAATAAAAGCACTGGTAATTTAAGAATCAAGATATGAAGGAGTGTATTTAAGGAAACTATACGACGACAGAAAGTTGAGGAGATGAAACAGAACTAGCTTTAAGAAACACATGGTTTGAGAAAGATTGCAAAGATAAAGATGTCATAGTTTGGAAGCAAACTTTGCTTTTAGATTGTGTTAACACCCTCAGTCCAACGTATGATTTTATAATTTATTGGCACAACTTCTCAAGTAAATGTTACAAGCATATTACAGATTACAGAAAATTGGGAGCATGAGAAATATGCCATAAATTATTCTCCAATAATTTGTGTTTTAAGCAGTGTGATTGCTTCTTATTATTTAATCTTTTGCATAAGATCAGGGAGAATGGTAGCTTTCGATCCAATGATCGTCAAAGTTATCCACCCATCATTCATTAGAGGACAATAAGCAGAGAACAACTTGCACTGCTTAAGAGAGGGTATGTACAAAACTTATATCTCAACATCTTATAGAGGCCAATGGAATATTGATGATGAAACATTTTTTAAAATCTAAGAGAGATGTCTGTAGAATCCTGAGATTTAACCCACTCCCACAGCAAGAGTTACAAGTAATAAACTATGGAGGAGACAAATATTGAGCCTAAACGAACTCGGTTTAAGATTCAACAGAGAAAGTCTGGAAAAGATTATGAAGAAGATACTTATCAGATGCAGCTTTTAATCAGAAAAGGAAAATAAAATTTCGTAGTAAATCAGCTAAATCTGAGAAAATATTGACAAAAGAACAAGATTGGACCTGCTGAACAATGTTTGAGTAAAGCAAATAATATATCAGCGTTAAAGGTAGAGATCATAATGCATTGATGAAGATGACCATCAATTAGTCATCACGATTCATAATTTTGTATAGAAATTTCTCGTGTTTCATAGCAGAAAAGTTAATTGATAGGCTAATGCACTAAGTTTTAGATTAACAAATGCACCATCTGTTAGCCCAGATTTAGTACCCACCCTCAGTGGATCATTCAGATTTAACATTTATTTTTATGGAGATTGAAGTGAATTATAATCCTTGTTTTGTCTTTTAACAAGAATATGGAGCAACTGGAACCAAGAGTCAAAACCACGAACCTGAGCTTCTAGCCTGTATGATTTGAGATGCAAAACGAGTCAAGCAACACGAGTCAAAAACAATATCCCCATATGTGAAACACTGATCAGCTAGGGTAAAGATTCATTGAGCAAATTAGGATGGCAGGAAAGAGAACTTACAGCATGAGAGGAGAACTTCACAAAAGCAAAACCACGATTTCGTTGCTTTATAGATTTTGTTTCTCCCACCGGTGAGGCAAGATCAACAGAAATAACATCAGGAAAAACCTATACTAAGAAAAGGAAATGCAGGTAAGGTGTCTTGTAACCTTTGAAATTATATACAACTAATTAACTGTATGCAACTCAGAGGTGTACCTGACGTATAATTCCCTCAAATTCATAAGTACTCCAACCTTCAAGACAGAATGCACCAATCAGGTACTGTTTAAGAACTTTAAAACTATAGAATGAAAGAAGTGCAATCTGGCACCAAAGGAAAAGTTCATACAGAAGACCAGATAAAGAAACACTTGTCAACTAAATCACATGATACCAATAAATAGAAATGTATATGGAACATATTTTCATACACTTCATGAAAATGGTGAACTGTATTTTTTTTTACCAGAAAGACAAAAGCAAATAACTCTGGGAGGACAAGCAAATGGCAGTTGGTGTGCAATCTTCTACAAGCAGATATTAGGCAAGAAATGAACCTTTATTGAGGTTTCCGAAAAACAAAGTATCCTGCTCTTTAGACGGGAGAACACCGATTTTCTTTCCATCTAGCTGAGTCGTAAAGGTCAGAAGAAATATGGTTCAACAAGAATTCTAAATCCATAATCAATTTTCAATCCAATTAGTAACAAAGTATGGTGCAGAAGATGCAATATTTACCACAAATCCAGATTTTTCTCTCACGGCCTTCTCAGCAGCCTCTTTTGTTGCAAAACGCACAAAGCAAAAGTCCTAAAATGCCACAGATAACAATGAGAAACCATGTGATTCCATTCTTCCGCTTGTGTGATTAATTTCTCTTTATGAGATAGTGAGACGAGAGACAAGAAATGTTGAGCATCATAGTCGATAACAGAAACAAGTAGAGCAACAAAAACATGTTAAGCAAACCTTTATGCTGCCTTTTTGATCCTTTATAAGACGTATTTCAACAATTTCCCCACAATGAGAGAATATCTGGAAAAGCAAAGATGCTAAAATTACGTGCAGAAGTAAAGGATGTGTTAATCGATCCTTGATTCGTTCATTTCAAGACAGAAAAGCCTGGAAAGGACAACCAACCTCATGGATAGTACTTTCAGTCACTGTGTGAGGCAAACCGCCAACAAACACTTCAGAACCCTTAACTGCATCTCAGCCAACAAAAGTTTTCCCATTAACCGTCGGCAACTTCACTAGGAGAAGAATTGAATAGAAACAGAAACCGAAATGAACCAGTATACAAACAAGACAAAGAGATAACCTCGGATTTTTCATCTCAAGTGAAGCTTGACAAATAACAGAAGTTGCATTAACGAATTGTAAGACATGTTTGTTTTGACTAGTACAAGTTATTGCCAAACAGAAACTTTTAGGATGAAATTAACAAGCTCAGTAACGGTCCTATCAGGAAATCACTTGCTGCAGTAGGCACTGGAAGAGTGAAATTTCAACGCACATTTGAATACAAGCTTACCATGATGCTCAGCAAACTGGCTCATCCCTCACTGAGGAGGCTTCTATTCACGAAAACAGATTTAAGGTTCTCAACTCCAGCAAAAGCAACACCCCTGAAAAAAAAGAAATGCTTCTCCCATCAAGCAAAAAGAACGGAAAATTTTGATGATCAAGCGAACCAGTTAAAGCAATATACGAGGGTAAAACCGTGCGAGAGTGAAAGAGATGGAGCATAATACGAGGATAATACTCATTTGCTGGATTTGTGCTATGAAAGAAAAGAAAAACGATAGATTTCGAGGGAATTCAAGTAACAATACCAAAGAAGGAATAAAGGCTGGAAATATCTTTTGATTGAAGTGAAAACTAGAGCAAAGGAAAATAATGGACGACTTGTCAGATATGATGAATCATGCATGGGTAATAAATTCAGATAGTGAAGATGCTAATTAACCAAGGTGGTTGAGGAATTTAGCGAATGGAGCAGCCCTAGTTATTGAATCCGCAGGCGCAGAGGCCGGTAGTTCCGGTCGCAGAATCTTTCGGTTGAACGAATATGGTTTGGCTTGATGATTTTACAATAATGTCCTTGTTAGTTATTGCCGGTTTGCCGCCTTTACCGTCCTATACGTACAATTAAATCAAACAAACAAACGAAAAAAAACATATGGGATGTGTGTATACACACACACACGCATATATATATATATGTACATGTAACATCTATATCTATATGTATTCAAGAAGAGGTTTTTAACAGAAATTCTCTTAATAACTTCTAAACTTTTTTTTTTTTTTTTCTAAATTTTTATATTTATTTTAATACATAAAATGTAGTGATCCTACAAATACCCTTTGCTCTCCTCGGTCCTTAATTTCACCACGCAAACCCAAGTACAACTTGATCATATCCTCCACTTCATAGCCATAGACAGAACGGTGTGAAGTAGTGAACACAATGGTAAAGACCATGATCGCGGCAGCTATCATGATAGCCTTCTTGGCTCTTGCTGAGGCCTCTAGCTTCAGAGCCACCATAACCACCCTAGTTGAGGAGGATGAGAACTAGGGGGGGTCAATCCCAGCAGAGATGCCGCCGGCAGATTCGACAACAATTTGAGCAGCTCCGACATTGCCAGCAGTACTTATCCGAGGGGAGCCCTTTCGAGATGGACATCATGAACCAGCAGGGACGGCAGCAGCAGCACCTCAGACAATGCTGCCAAGCACTTCAGAACTTCGACGAGAAGTGCCAATGCGGGCCGTAAGAGCGGCAGTTAGGCGGCAACAGCAGCAAGGAAGGAGCTGGAAGGGACAGGGAGGCCAGGAGATGCAACAAGTCAAGCAGAAGGCTAGATACCTCCCGCTACTGTGCAACTTGGGACCCCAGCAGTGCCGAATCTACTAACTTTAAGGCCATTGAGTATCACCGGCTGGTAGATCTTCATGTTATCGCGTGCATGTTGATTGAATAAAGTTCATCTAGTTATCTAGCTGTTTAGCTAGACGATTGGAGAACTATCTCTTGTACCTTACTTAACACATGATCGTGTGTGTTGGATTATGAAGTTTATTATTCGAGATTAGGTTCATGTACTCTCAGAAATGAATAAACTTTATTCGGTTTAAATTTGTTCGCAAAAGCTACCTAGAACTAATCTGGAAAAGCTGGTATTAATTTCCTTATATTTAGAAAACTTTTGCTCTTCGAAATATTTTCAATGGTAGATTGAAATCTGCATTCTAATCTTTAAGATTTACTAATGCCTTGTCAGCAGTAACAATGGAACATATGCCCATGCAGGTACAAATCTCGACAAATTGTCGTCAGAAACTCTACAATTAGGAAGACAAAAAATCAGGCGTTGCTTGTGATTAGTACTTAGATAGAATGCCCGGTGAAAACTTAGAAAGTATGTGCTTGGAGTGGTGCCCCTGGGATTTGGGGTATTTTTGTTTTTTGGTGTTAGGGGGGTTTTGTTACAAGCCTTTCTTGTACGCCTTTTTTTACACGGTAATCGGTAATATGACATACAGGAGGTTTTATTTTTTATTTTTTAACCTTTTCCTTCCGGTAATTTGACATACATGAGTTTTACATTGGAGGGTTGGGACATATAGGAGTTTGCCACAAGAATTTAGCAAGCATTCGCCCTCATTTCTCTTGGATAATCTGGCCTGGACAAAGCTGTCCAGTGAAGCAAACAACCAGACTGTTAGTCTCTTTGCATAGCATAAAACTGTTAAGCCTCTTGACTAGGGCTGCAAACGAGCCGAGCCGAGTCGAGCTTTGAGCTAATCGAGCCGAGCCTTAGCTAAATTTTATCAAGCTCGAGCTCGACGAGCTGGCAATTTTCGAGCTCGAGCTCGACTCGAATCAAGTCGAGTCGAGTCGAGCTCGAGCTCGAAAAAAATAAATAAAAAAATTTTATTTTAAAAAAAAATAAATAAAATAATATTTTTTTTCTGAATAAATAATAAAATATTAAGGATATATCCGTAATTTCACTATGAAAATAAAAAATAAAAAAATATATATATATAATATACGTAATTTTATTATTAAATAAAAATAAAAATAAAAAAAAATATATATATATTCAAGCTCGCGAGCCGAGTTCTGAGCTCGAGTTCGAGCTCGAGTTTGACTCGAGCTGGCTCGAGCTCGATTAATGTCGAGCTCGACTCGAGCCGCTCGCGAGCGGCTCGATTCGTTTGCAGCCCTACTCTTGACGCAGCATAAAACTGTCAAGTCTCTTGACAACTCGGTATAGCAAAAAGCTCCCTATCTCTTGTATTGTGGTTGCAATGCAGAAGAAAGTTAAATACAAAGAGATAGGAAATGGGGAATGACATTGGAGTCGACTGAGTGTCAATGTTTTGAAAACCGGACCGGCCATGGCACCGGTCCGGTTCTATGCCATGTTTGACTTTGTCTGAAAATCGGTCGAATCGTGAAAACCGTCAAATCGGGTTGAACCGGTGATTTTTCGGTTTTCAACTTTCCCTCTTTTTTTCTTTTTTTTTTTGTTGCAAAATGCAGCTATCAAGATTCAAACTCAAGACCTTTGTAATAGAAGATCAATGTATTAACCGTTGCACCATCACATCTTATTAGTTTTTTTTGATAACTTATTTATATAAAACAAACATTCATGTTTCTTTTTTCTATTTTTTTTACAAAATCTCATCCTCTCATGACTCTTTCTTTTTAATTTTCAACTCTCTCTCTCTCTATCTCTATTCTCTTTTCTTTTGTCATTCCCTTTTTAATCAAATTTTTTTATTTTTAATTTATTGATGTTTTCTTGCATCTTTTAATTTTATTTTTGTCCATTAAATTGAAAAAAGTTAAAAAAGAATTATTTTTCTTTAACCCAAATTATTTAATGCTACAACCACTCACTTTTATCTCATTTTTTTGTTTCATATCAAGTTTACATTTCTATTTTTGAATCTCTCGCTTCCTTTGAACTCCAAACTTTCTTTTTTAAATTGCAATCTCTAAATTCTAAAACATAAATTAAAATTTAAGTTCACAATATCTAAATTCTCATAGACGTGAATTTTGTATAATTTTAAAATATTGTGATATTTTTGGGTTGGATTTAGATATAATTGAAATTGAGATGAAATTTATTTGTTTTAACTTATAATTTAAAAATTTTATTTTTAAAAATTCAAGTTATTAAAAAATAGTAAACTTTTCATCATATAAAGTATTAAATTAGTCCATTACATGTCTTATTTTGTGCATACATATATTTATTAAATTATTTTTCAAAAAATTCATTGAACCGAAATTGAACCGATCCAACCGATTGAACCTCGATCCTTTCACTTCACCGGTTCAATTAACGGTCCGATTTTTAAAACATTGCTGAGTGTATACTATGCTCTGACGCTGAAGAGAGCATAGAACATTCATTCTTCAATTGTAGAATGTCATCCGCGGAATGGCAAAAAAAAAGTTCAGAGGACGCATTCAAATGTCCATTAGAGGAGGAGCTTCAGTGGGTGTCTAACCATTGGGCTGGCAAGTCTTTTTTGCAGCAATTCAAAAGGCTTGTTTTTCCTGTGATTGTTTGTCATGCCCGGAGGACGCCAAATGCTGCAATTTTCAGATACGGGTCAGTTACTGCGATTAGCTTTATGGAAGATATGATAGACGAAGTCAGGCATGCGGTGTTCTTGCGCTGGAAAAAATTCCAAAGACCCATGAAAGCTTGCAGCTAACCTTGGGATTTTCAGTTTTGGTATTATAGAATAACATGTAAAGTGACGTTCATTCTCAATCGCTTGTACAAACTTGTTCATATCAATGAAAGTTATCATTTTTGCCTTGAAAGATCAGTTCGGTAATTCCCCGTCTGAACAACTGAAATTCCAACTCCGGCTGGCCCAAAAGGCGACCCAATTTACAAAGCTCATAGTGCCTGGGAGAAAGTTTCTCTGTTTTCTGCAGGTGCTTGTGAATCAGATTCCGATTTTCGGAACACCAGCTTTTGCTGGGGAAGCTGACCGTTAGCAAATGCTGTTACCTCGGTGTCTATCAACACCGAATCCTCATCCTTGAATTCTCCTCTCAAGATTCCTTTAGCAAGCTCGTTCTCAACATATTGCTGTATTACCCGCTTCACAGGCCTAGCTCCATAGTTAGGATCATACCCAAGAGTGCCTAGCAGTTGAATGGCAGCATCAGTCACGTGAATCTTCATCTTCCGATCTGAAATCCTCTGCCGTACTCGTTGCAGCTGTAACAGAGACATAATGTCAATAAAGTACATGAAGATGGTCAAATTCCTTATGCACAGAGTCGAAGGAAGATGAGGACACATGAACAATTGGCGTTTGGGAGTACGAGTACGCCTGTTTGTTCGTCTATCTCAAAGAACTAAACTTATTCAACCCAGTTAAATAAGTTGTTCAACACACTTATTCATCATCAGTCTGAAAATTCCTAGTAAAAATAAATCAATTAAAGTTTATTTCACCAAGTTAGCCGATTCCAACAGCACTACCCAGTACATGCATTTTCAACATAATTTCCTATATTATTGCCACAAAATGAAATATAGTCACCAACATACTTGAAAAACTCGTCTATTATTAATGGAAAAAGAATTTACCTGTAATCTGACTATGCTGTTGATTTGATCACGGTCCAGAGGCTGGAAAACTATGTACTCATCAACCCGATTCATGAACTCTGGACGAAAAACAGCTCTTGCAGCCTCCATAACCCGTTGTTTTATAGTTTCATAAGCCATTTCTTTGGGCAAGGCGTCATCATCTGTGTCAAGTATATATTGGGAACCCACGTTTGAAGTCATAATGATCACAGTGTTAGTAAAACTCACGGTACGCCCCTGAGAGTCGGTAACTCTACCATCATCCAGAATTTGCAGGAAAACATTGAATACATCAGAGTGAGCCTTCTCTATCTCATCAAACAAAATAACAGCATATGGCCTTCTGCGAACAACCTCAGTCAACTGTCCTCCTTCTTCGTAGCCTACATAACCAGGTGGAGCTCCTACTAACCTTGAAACTGCATGCTTCTCCATGTATTCGCTCATATCAATTCTTACAAGTGCTTCTTCAGTGTTAAACATGTATGAAGCCAGAGCCTTCGCTAGTTCTGTTTTTCCAACCCCCGTAGGTCCCATGAACATAAAACTAGCAATTGGACGGTGTGGATCTGAAAGGCCTGCTCGAGATCGTTGGATAGCCTCTGCCACAGATCTCACTGCAGGATCCTGACCAACAACTCTTTTATGAAGCTCTTCCTCCAGATGCAACAGCTTTTCCCTCTCTGACTGCTTTAGCTTAGAAACTGGTATTCCAGTCCATTTACTGACAATCTCAGCTATATCATCTCCCGTAACTTCTTCTCTAAGCATGGACTTCCCAGACTTCATATACTCATCTAATTCTTTTTCTGCAGCTTCAAGCTGACGCTGCAAAGAGTTCAAGCTCCCATATTTTAGTTCAGCCGCACGGTTGAGGTCATACTCTCGCTCAGCCTGCTGGATCTCAAGATTTACCCTGTCAATCTGTTTTTAAAAAAAAAAAAAAAAAAAAAAAACTTTCATTATGTTTTGCCCAGTTTGTGTGCCAGGACAGCTTTTGGCTGTGACAATTAAAGGAATCGCCTTTATGGATTAGCCACATTTTCAGCATGGAAACAACAACAACATAGGCATTGCTTGCTTAATAATTTCAGCCTATGGCTACTGATGTGACAAAAAGCTCCGAATGAACGCCAATGGGGAGGGAGAAAGACCCCCGTCCCCAGGAAAAGGAAAGAGGATAGTTCACAACTGTATGGATAAAAAATGCATACCTCTTCCTTGATTGACTGTATGCGGGTCATTACAGTCTTCTCATGCTCCCACTGTTCATTCAGCTCAGCTTGCCTAGCCTTCAGCAAAGACAACTCTGCCTCAAGGCGACTCAATCTTTCCTTTGATGCTTTATCCGTGTCATTAGTGAGAGAGAGTCTCTCCATCTCCAGTTTCAAAACTGCACGGTTGATCTCATCAAGAGCTGTTGGCTTTGAAGTTATTTCCATCTTCAGTTTGGCAGCAGCTTCATCAACCAGGTCAATAGCTGCGGTCGAAACATTACATTAGAGCTTATTTCATAGAAGTATCAATACATATGCAGCAACTGAACAAATTAAATTTCAACTTACATACTCTACGATCACAATCAACAATTTCAAAACAACAAAATTAACTGAAATATCTAGCTTGCCTTAAGTGTATCCTAGTGATACAAGGATTCCATAAGCAAGGAGCGTCTGGGATCATGAATTAGTATTGAACATAACACATGAGACTGAAGATTAATCTCTAACACACACATAATCAAAGGTTCAAACGTCTAATATAGAATACAAGAAATAGAACTATTGAACACGCCAGTAGTCAGTTTGAAAATCTGCAGAACTGGCTATAGTAGAAAGAACAAGTATATATGCAGGGACTCAGAATCGCAACCAAATCTACTATTGCCTCAAACACGTTAACATCTAAGGCCTCTATAGTTCTTCTATGTGAGCAAAATTTTGAGAAAACAATTCTAGAAAAGAAATCTTGAATGGTACCAAATTCAAAAGCTAATGTCAGATGACTGATCAGGCTCACCTTTGTCAGGTAAAAAGCGTCCACTAATATAGCGATCTGAAAGAATTGCAGCTTCTACCAGTGCACTGTCTGAAATTCGAACTCCGTGATGCAGCTCGTATCTTTCCCTCAGTCCACGAAGAATGGAGATGGTATCTTCTACAGTTGGTTGATCAACATAAACTTGCTGGAAACGGCGCTCTAAAGCTGGATCTTTCTCGATATATTTACGGTATTCATCCAATGTTGTCGCACCAATGCATCGCAATTCTCCACGACCAAGCATGGGCTTCAAGAGATTGCCAGCATCCATTGCACCACTGGTGGCACCTGAAAAACGATAAAGTTTTTTCTTTCATTTGATGAACTTAGACATCTGGAAAACATCAATCACAATTACTATTTCTACCAAACCTAAAGCACAGTATCACAAACAACACTAGGACAAACAACTAGTAGAAAAAAATTCCATCTGATAAATAAACTCCAGCATGTAAATGCAGACATCTTAACGTGAACCTCATAGCGCTCATAGGAAAGAAAAGAAAGAAATACTGCAGATAAGATTGAGGGGCTAGTAGGAGTTAACAGCATAAAAGACCTTGTTTGGTTATTTACCATCTAAGCATTCAATCTAAGCATCTGTCATCGACCTGCAGAACTTACAAACATTACCTGCTCCAACAACTGTATGGATTTCATCAATAAAAAGGATAATCTGCCCGTCTGAATCTGTAACTTCCTTGAGTACCGCTTTCAATCTGTCTTCAAACTCTCCACGATATTTAGCCCCTGCAATCAGTGCTCCCATGTCAAGGGATATCAACTGCATCCAAGAAGTGAATCAGTTGGGACAGATTTCCTCATTGTCTTGCAAATTAAAAGTCCAAAATCAGATCCTTAAGTAAAAAAGTAAATTTTTAAAAAAATTAAAAAGAACAATAAAAAAGGATGTGTGTGTGTAAATGAAAAAAAAATAATTTTCAATTGGAGAATTTTACAATAAACATCTACAATACACACCCTTCGGTTCATCAATGCTTGAGGAACATCTCCTTGCACTATTCTTTGGGCAAGCCTGTGAAACAGGGCCGAAGAAAATGAGTTCCAGTTTCAGGAAAATCAAATACAGGGCTACCATAAATCTCACATAACATCCACAGGAAGATACCTAAAGGAGGATATTGTTAGCCTGAATTAACAGTTCATAACAAAGCTAAAATTTACAAACATGTATGGACGAGCTTCATTTATCCGACTTTGCACACCCTTTCTAGTTGTTTACCACAAATTTCTATTGCAGACAGCAAAAAAAAAAAAAAAAAAATCTTGAGCTTACCCCTCGGAAATTGCAGTTTTCCCAACGCCTGGCTCACCTATTAGAACGGGATTGTTCTTTGTTCTCCTGGAAAGAATCTGAATGCACCTTCGAATTTCGTCATCCCTTCCTATAACAGGGTCCAGTTTTCCCGCTCTCGCCATGGTGGTCAAATCTTTTCCATATTTCTCTAGCGCCTCATACTTCCCTTCAGGATCTGTATCAAACTGAAGCTTTTCAAAAAATATACAGAAAAACAAAGAAACATTGATTACCAAGACTACGACAATACATTTTCAACACAAGTCCAGAGTATATAAAGTGGAAGACCGCAGATAAATCACGATGGCTGCGTTGTACATACTCTTGTAAAACTGCAAAGCATAGCTTTAGATCATAACTTCATCGTAAACAAAATGCAAATCAATAAATCTACACTTGCAATCTCGCATACCCAATTGTATCGAAGTATTCTGCAGGGACATCATATGAAGCTATCCCATTCGCACACTGAATGGTCTAGCCTCAAAAAACGTATCAAGCCAAAAGGTTCTAATGCAGTAGTAAATGCCAAAATCTTGAGCAAACTAATAACCATTGTCTCACTCTTACAAATTCCAATATCAGAGAAACTGCACAGATCATTTTAAAGCAGAAAAACTGTACATATATCTCTGCTAAATTTTTGGCCTGAAAAAGCCGAGAAAACCATGAAGATGCCAAGTAAGCTAGCATTAAACGTCCAAAGCAACGAAATGCAAGTAAAGTTTGCTTAGAACCCCTTAACATGCACCTGTGTTAATCAAACTACCCTTTGACAACCAGAAAATAACTATTGTCACCTTGGTCAATAACTTTTTGCCGTCCCCTTATGGCTTCGATGGCATCCTTTAATGCTTTTCTGGAAATTTGGAAGTCCTTGAACATTTGCTTCCCAAATCGATTATCTTGTACAAAACCGAGGACTAAATGCTCAACTGACATAAATGAATCACCATATTCTTTCTTGTAATCCCTGGCTCGCTGAATTAAAGCCTCTAAATCTCGTCCTAACATTGAACCAGAAGACTCACCAAGAACCTGGCACCACGTATACATTGATAAGCAGATGAAACACGTAGTACCTGCAAATATCAAAATCGCACTCCTCTCCGGAACAAGAATGGCACTGTAAATATTACGCCCTTCATACGTCAGATTTAGAAAAACTACTACCTGATCAACTAGCGCCAAATTAGATATATTTTCACCCATCTATGCATGTAATACGCTAATGCAAGCACCATAAATTCCCATTTGAACAAGTGAAGGCTCCACCGAGTTGGAGTAAGCTAACTCGGCAGATTATAAACCCATCAAGCAACTACACAAAATGCTAGGGAATTAAACTACAAAATTATTAAGCTTCATAAGAGTAGCTAGTAGTAGAATTAGTTGAAGACCGAGAATTGATTACCTTCGGTTGGCGTTGAATGAACTTATCAGTAGCATCCAGAAGCCGAGTGTTGTCCACACCAACCTTGGAGAAAATCCGGCGAGCCAGCCCATTCTTCTGCTCCAAAAGTGCCTTCATCAAGTGCTCCGTCTCCACTATCTGATGCTTATTCTCTTTCGCCACTTCCGGCGACGACACAATAGCTTGCCACGCCATATCCGTAAACTCCTGCTGCGTAATCTGGTGCCCACACATTCAACAAAATTCAGTAACCAGCTCCAATTATTAACATTCATTTACATGCAAAAAAAAAATAGCATTAGAGTGAATTTGATGAATCATTACCCTTCCACTTGATGTTTCGCACCGGACGACGAAGGACCGGGAGCTCCTGCCCAACTTTTCTGACCTTCTCGTGAGAAATGCATCTTTGCGCTTTAATTTTAGCGAATTTAGGGATTTGAGAGCTTTTGGCTTTGCCAAGAAGTTTAATGATACAGGTGCTGGCTGTGAAACTAAGGAGGGTCTACAAGTAGAATTAGACGGCCGAATATGGAAGTGAACGCCGGCGAACGATGTCGTAGTGGCCATTATCGTTGTAGTAATAGTAGTTTGAGAGCTAACTAGTATCGAATTTAATATTCAATATAACTTTCATAAAATGCAAATTTATAGTATCGAATGATTTCTTCCCGGGGCCGAAAGCATGAGAAGCTGCAGAACAAGATTGTTGGGAGAGAGGGGGACTTTTGCGTGGGAATTTAAAAAAGTGGGCGATTGCTCCATAAGGACAATTTTGTGTAGGCTGTGCTTGTGTGTTCTCGCAGTTTCCAGCGAGTGTTAAAATGTTCAATTTACTTTTGTGGCCTTAAAAATTCTGTTAATGTTATTTCGGACCCCAAAAAATGGAAAAGCTTTATGCAATGAGGATGAACTAAGCTCCGTCGAATGCAGCAGCCAGCAGGGACGGGTATTTCTTTTAGTTTAAGTGTAAGTGAGAGGTTCCGATTCCACGTCATCTAATTTATCTCTCATTATATATATTTGTACGAGAAAAAATATAATAGTATTTCATCCTTATTTTTTTAAAAAGTTAATCACATTGTTTTCGTTGAATAACATAAACATGAATTAAACCCATTGTATTATAAATGTAAAAATTAATACTTAATTATATTTCAAAAAGAAAATTTTATAGTTCCTCACACTTGGCTTGGCTTGGCTTGCTTGAATCATATTCTTAATTTTTTATGTGTTGTAGAACGAAGTACGATTAATCCTGCAAATTTGATAACTTATCCGCATCAGTTCGTAGTGGAAAAGGTGAGGGCTAAATTGAAAAAATAAAAATTTCCAGTGACCATTATACAAATTTCTTACGATTGTCATGCACGCGGTGCTGCTGCATCAGGGTATTCTACTCTACGCAGGGAGGGGCATTATGATATTTTTCTGATCACTAGTTTTAAGGATAACATTTTTGAGTTATTTTTCTTGGTGGGAAAGAAAATGATTAATTGTTAGAAATCAGCCCACAACCCCACCGCAACGACGACGGGCAAGGAGAACAGGACAATAAGTGGGACCTACGCGGTATGAACCGAACTGGTTACATTCTTCCGCAGAAGCATTTCAGGCAGCTTTGAAACAGCCATATGTCTGAAAGTATCATTGCTAAAAGAAAGAAAAAAAAAAACTGAAAACAGTAGTAGTCTTTCTTTTTTAACTTTTAAAGAAAATCAATATGAGTTCTTCACTTATTTTCTTCAAGTCAATTCCTCACATTCTTAGATGAAATCTGGGTCTCGATTACATGCATAAAAGAACATCTGATCTAATAGGGGGCTAGCTAAATCATCATTTTAAGAATCTCACCCGAACAACAGGAACATGCATAAATCCAGCTTCTTCCATGTGTAGATATATATATTTAGGTTCGCCACCTGGTACAGTTATAAGAAAGAAAAATGCGAGTTTTGACCCTAATTACATCACGGCTGAGTTTCAACTTTCAAGCACAAGGCACACAACTGAGCGCCCAGGCTAAGCTGCTGAATTGAACGAGAATTACAGTATAGTATTTACACATTAGGCATTTATTTGAAGCAACAATTTTCAATTGATGAATTGCAGCCATGATTACGTAATTGGACTGTGGGATGATGAACAACAAAAGAAGTGAAAATGGAAGTGCAGAAACTCATATGGTGACACATGTGCCTGGAGTTTTCAATCGGACTCAACAACAGCAACCTTACTTGGGTCAGCAATCCCCTTGACCTCACTCTCTATTCTACCAAATCCACATTCTCCACCTCTGTCTGTCTGAACCAACAGCAAGATTCAAATAAATTTTTGCAGAACATGAAAATACGTTATAAATAGAATCAATCAAGGCCCTACCAACCTGAGTGTAATGCTGCTTTAAGAGCCGATTCTCACAATATGACACAACCACACTTGTTCTGCTTGGGGTCACTTGGCACCTTTTCTGTTATAAGAGAAAACTGCCAAACTTCAATTATCCAGACAGAGATCCTTTTGAAGTGAAATTTGTCACTTTAAAAGGAATAGGGAAAAAGAAGAAAGGAGGAGGAAGAAGCAAGCAAACAATCTTCTTCTTCTTTTTTTCGTCCCATCGACTGATCAGCACCTCAAAATACGCCATCATTTAAGACTAATGTAGCAGTGGTTTCCAGATGAGCCACTGACCTTTTTCTTGAGGAGGTGGTTGAACAACAACGTGCATGGTTGTAACTCCACCGGGGACATCACACAATGGACTCATGCATTCCCCGACTGTTCTACTGTTCTCCAATATTCTTCCAGCACTTATTAACTTGACATCTTTCACTGTCCGAGGACCATTTTCCTTATCTGTTACACAAACACAGACATGGATGGCTGGCTTAATGTGGAACCCAAATTGTCAAAAGCAATAAACCAAATGAATCGACAAGCATTCCATCTAGAGCTGACTCAAGAATGGCTTAAATTGCTCATTACACCCAATCATCATCATTTTCAATTCTAAGCTACATTGGATTCCAGATCAACTTGTAGCTTCAGCATCATCATGCACATTGCCGCAACCACAAAGTTTTCAGTAAAATAATGTTTCCTCAAACATTTGAAGTGCTTACCAAGCAGCTTTAAGTTTCGATGTATTTAAATAAGGCATAAAAGATTGGTAGCAAGAAAAGGATCATTCACAGAATGCAAATTCGATAACCACTAGAAATACAATATCTTCAGTCAATGTTATGGTGTATCTGAATTCTTTACTGGAAAATAACTTATTGAAACACGGTGATTTACAAAAATCCATCATAGGAATCTGGTTCTCGCGGTGAACAAGAACTTCAATCTCCTCTTTAATGTCATTCTTGTTATTTCCAAATAAGCAAGGATAAGACACAGGTGCATTTAACAACGAAAATTTTGAAGTACATTGGCGTTGATTTTTCTTGATGCTTTTTGAAACTTATAAGGAGTGACGGTAATTAAATAACTACAGCCGTGCCTGATTCCTAGGCCTCTCTAAGAAATAATAACTAGCTTTCTATTGATAACCACAACAAGGCAATGAAACGTTGTTCTGAATATCATTATTAGTGTAAGCTAAGCTAATATATCAAGAAGTGCGAGAGTTTGAGAAACATGGGAGGATTAACAGCTATCTATGCAATCAGAAAGGAGGGTTGACAAACAACAAGCATCTCAACAAGAAGTCCCTAGACAAAGAGGGGAGTAGATGCCCAAGACTCTCTATTCTTTAAAGGACCTGATTCCAAAAGCCTCCACCATGGAGATTAATAATCATCCACCGAATCTAATTTCCAGTCTCTAGACAAGATAATGTAAAATTCCCAAGAAAAATACAAGTTCAAATGAAAAAGAGCAATGCAACCTCGTTATCTTTAATCTAATAATTTATTCATTAATTATGCTTGGTAGCTATCTCAGCCAGAATCTCAAACAACCAGAAGCGAAGAATGGATAGGACTCGTTCAACTTCTGCTTCTACTTTGAGCAACTGTTATGGATACTTTCAAATACTCCTGTGGAAGTGAGTAAATGAGAAAAGGCCCCATGGCAAATTATGTGCTCAGTATCTGAAGGAGTGGAAATGTGAAAACCATTTATTGTCCTTGTCTTTTGACCTTATGTTTGTAAATGATTGCTTATTTTAGGAGCCAAATCTAGCATGTCAACCAGATAGTAGGGAGAACTACCATATAATTATCTTTTCTTGGTGAGGAAACAATCAGACAACACTTACCAAAGCTTAAGATGATTGACAATTAATGAAATACCACTCAAGGCACCAAGTTTGTAGATAAATCTAGCTATGGCAGCTTCGCAGCACCATTAATTTCAAACCGCATATTTTCAGACTAACTGATTCCACCAAATTAAATGAAATTCAACTCATAAAGGCCAAGAACAAGCCTTGTACAAATCTTAGTCCATGGACAAAACTGTCTTGACACTCGTTCAGGGAGAAATTTATAGCTAGCAATGAACCAAGCATGCTCAGGAATAACGAGAAAAGAGACATAACCAGAGCAAAATAAAATCAATTCAAAGATCTAATTTACCTTTAGGCCATTGAGCAAGGATGCTTTCTTTCAAGGTCGCCACACTAGCAGCAGCAGGATAACTCTTGGGGCCTATATCCGATCCATCAATCAGCCTAAACTTGATATCCAGCTGATCTGGAGCTGCGGACGTTTCTACCATCTCAGAGACTTTAGACATCGAAACCCAAAATATTGACTAGAGCCCTGGGCAATCTCCAATATACAAATAGTCCTTTATGCAAAATCTCCAACTGATTAATGAAAATTGGATCTCCACAATGATTTATAGAACTCATCCAAATCCTCACTTTCTGGGAAGCAACAATAAACGTTTAATGTTTTAAAAAAGCTGTTTAGCAGAAAAGAATATCAGCCATCAAGATTTGCAAGCTAGGAGACGAAAAAGGTCAACGAATACTGGAATCCATAACGACAATTACATACCATCTACACAAGCAAGCAACCAACTTCTAAAAAAAAATAAAAAGAAAAAGCATCAATCTTTGAATCAAGAGCTGCGAAAGAAACAGACATAAACCCAACTTAGGCTGTCTCGAATAAATCTAAATCCACAAAATTATACACAAAAAGGATCAAGTAAGAGAGTGAAAAGGAAGAAAATTATACACAAGGAGCAAAATAAGGGGGGAAAAAAAAGCAAAGACAATACTCACAGTGCGAGGTATACTTCAAACAGAATCTCCACGCAAATCTTTAACTGGGGTCACCTCCAAAATGCAAATCAATCGAAAAAAGTCAAACTTCAACTAACTGGGATGATCAAGAATCAATCACAAATTAAATTAATTAATCTCTTAGTCGAAGATTAGATATAATTGTATCTGAGTGGGCTTACTTGGCTCAAGAACTGATCTGTGTCCTCTCTCTCTTATTCGCCAACAAGCTCAATAGTTGAAGCACCGAAAGCCAATGGAGGAGGGGAGCAGCCAATGCGTGTAACGCAATTAATAGTAAAATAATCTTCGATTAATTAACAAATAATAATTATGAAAAGTCTCAAGAAGAGGAAGAGATGAAAGAAATGCCCAGAGACGAGGCTGTTTCGGAGTTTTCAAAGTCTTCTAAACCTATGGTCTATGAATCCATCCATCCTTTTGTGCCCTTTGTCTTCTCCTTCCAATCCTCCTTAGTCTGTGGAAAAATCGACATATTTTCCTTTTTTAGTTTTTTTTTCCTTTTTTTTTTGGGTTGGGAAAGAGTATAACAATAATAATACACTGCGTCTACTTTCTGTTTTCAAGATTATGGCTTTATTTTAACTCTGCACTGTGCTACATTTGCATATTGAGTGTGTTTGGAAAAAAAAATTATTTAAAATATTATTTGAAATAATTACTGTAACACTTTTTGTGTGTGACGTAATATATATAAAATAAAAAATAATTAAAAATATAAAAAAGTAAATTAAAAATATATTTATGATACAAATAAAATATTTATTTAAAATAATTCAACGATCTGCGAAAAGGATTGCCTTCCCGATATCATTTAATTAATTATACTAATGAAATAAAGGCGTATATTCCCTTCCCATAATCCACAGGGAAAGAAAGCATAAGGATGTCAACATATATATGATGGCAGATTTCAACTGTGCCCTGAATGCCAGTCTCATTTTCCTTGTTTTTATTTTCTTTTTTGAACTTTCCTCCGTGGTTAGAAAGGTGACATTTAGTTGAGGCACGATAATCATAAAATTCAAATTACAATATAATTGTTTTGGTAGGAAATCACTTAAACAAATGAGAAGATACATAATTAATAAGGTTTGGATAAGCGGGAAAAAAACAAGAGAAAAGAAAGAAAGCCGTTGTATTTAATTAAGAACAGCAATTACACCGAACCATTTTCTTTTCTTTCAATTGGAAAGGACCAAGTCAGTCATCCTCAACCTTTGTCTCCTCAGTGGATTTTACTTAAACTAACCGAATACGGCGGCCTTGAAATAGCTGCCATACACCAACACCAAAAGCTCGACGTATCAGAAATGGGAATAGACTCTTTTATTTATTATATCTATATTCTCAAATCTTAATGCCTTTCTTGTCATCGCCAACTAAGCATATCCTAAAACAAGAATCCTTTCCCCCTTTTCCTTTTGTTTCTCTTTTATATCACATCCGTCACCTAATCCAGAAACATGGTATAGTATTCAACTCAAAGGCAAATCAAATGTGGCTCCCAATTCAAGCAAACATCATCATGTACCAAATCGCAGAACAACAATAAAACTCAATAACTTGGTAATGAAAAAGAATTTTCTGCACATTTCAACAATATCCATGAATTGTACAAAACCAGAACCGACATGTAATGTAACCTAAAGTAGTTCCTTTGCTCAAGGGAACCTCTATCTGAGCAAAGCTCAGGAATCTACCTCTAAAGTCACCATAACGATAAAACAATCGCAATAGGGGAGGGGGGGGGGGGGAAAAGTCGGTGAACGGCAGCAAACTAACATAGATAATAAAAATGAGGAGTAAAGAGGGGGAAAAAGAAAATAAAATTCCATTCCTATGCCTAATGGGGCCAAACTGCGAGCCTGGAAGAGGGGCCGCATCCCTAGATTCCTTCTCGGTCAATTTGTACAACCAATGGCATTAAGTCACATTTCCATCCACGCCCTTTCTTCCCATTATTTCCTTCTTAGCAATTAGACACTGGTAAGGCCTATCGAGGAGGTCAAAAATAATGTCCTTTGTGCAACCAAAAAGAATAGATCACGAAATGCTATTATACATGAAAGAATGAATCTCAAACCCATGCCAACGCAGGCCCTTGTTCGGTAGAGGGAGGACAGCAGCAAAATCCAGTCGCTTCCATGAAAAATTGTGTCCCAGTCCAAATTTTTTGTCAAATGCATACCAACAAGTTTCTCAAAGCCGAGCAACGATCTTAGGAAAAACTACTCTCTTTCCAGCTTCCATCCCATGTTTTGCTTTCGATGCAATTCATCAGTGGACTTCTACTCCAAAATGTGGCAGTTCCTGACGAAGTCATTGGAGTAGTTGACATGCTTGGTCCAAAATGGTCGGAGATGCTCAAAACCTATCTCCAGCCATGGCTTTGCTTGGCCGTTGTAGTGAATTACAGCAGCCTTTCTAAGATTTTCAATGTTGGTCTTGTTCTGGTACCCCAAGCCAAGCATGTGCCAGAAGGGGTCAATTGGGTGAACATGACCCTTGAATGCAATTAAAGCAGGAGGTAAAGTACCTAGCTTCCACAGTGTTAGGTTTGACATCAGATTCTGCAATACCCCACCATTTCCGTGAGAAACAGTTATCATAGCATACCAAGGTCCAAAAGTTTTTGACACTTGATAAACAATGCAAGACAGCAACAACAAAAGACATTCTTTGAAAAAAATTAAGATTGTGAAAGCAATCCCAGTTCTTATCAGATTTCTTAAACCAATCTAACCACTTTTAACAACAGAAAGAAGCTCAAACGCTGTGCTACTTTAGATAAGAGCATATTAAGCCCCCCATATCCTCCTCATGCTAGCCAACAACTAAAACAGGGGCAGCGAGATATTATGGCTGCCAAGGCACCAGATCAATAGGAATCATTTAGTGTTGGCTTCATGGAAGCCGAAAATCAACTAACATCCAAATTACAATGAAGACAACAACTTAACTTTAGGTTACAGGACAACATTTATCTAACTTTAGGGTACAGGATAACAATAATCTAACATAAGTTTACAGAAAGCAGGCAGAAGTATAAAGCAGTACTCTAATTTCAACCCAACTTCAGAACTTAAGTTTGCACACAAAAAAATAATATGATGACCCTAGGCATCAAAGGGAATTGCAAAACAAATAGCAATCAAACTTGACAACTAAATTCATCTACGCATAACTCAACTTTTAATTCCTAAAATTTAATCTTGATTATTTTTTTTATTTTGATTTTGCTTATTTTTCAAAAGTTCTCATAATATGAAATCACATAAGTGCAATAGATGCAAAGCATTCAAGTCCCTTAGAAGCACACAAGCTCCTCCTACCTCCTTAAGCCACGCATGATAAGTCTCTCTTACATTTGTCTGTCTCCACGCACGCAAGTCAAAAATATTCATCCCGTAAGCCCATGCACATTCTTCAGGGTTCAGATTCTTTGCTATAAGGGGATGAGAGAAATTGAAGTAATTCCTGAATCTCTTAGACATTACCCACTCATCTTCACCTTTACAGGTTTCTACAGCTCCATTGACTTTTCCATGAAGATCGATATCCCAGAGAGGTGACAAGTCTTGCTGAATGACGACATCATCGTCTAAGAAAACCACCTTGTCGAGGTTTGGAAAGAGCTACACAAAAACAGAAAATATTTCATAAGAGCACTGGAGGACAAAAGAAACCAAAGGATGTCTCACATAATTTTCCATTAGCTTCCATTGCTTAAAAAGGGTACTGAAGTTTGCCCACAGTTTAAGGTCATTCAGCTTTCTATGCCAATATACTTACAGGCAACCAATATCATTTCTCATTTAAAGTTCACAAAATTCATCATTAGGACAGGGCAAGTAGAGCATTAACTGGCATTCATAAATAAAAACTAAAAATTAGTTCAACTTCTTCTAAATAAAGGAAAAAATATGAACAATACAATACCTAATTGCAGGTTGTGGAATGATATGACAGTGCAGCTGCACGTGTGTGTGTGTGTGAGAGAGAGAGAGAGAGAAAGAGAGAACGTGGGGAGGGGGAAGAGAAAGTGGATTTCTGTATTTCATGTGTATCAAAGACTGTAGACATACAAAAAATATTAAGTAACGAGAAAAGACTACCTCAGGCAAATATATTCCGAGATGGTTGAGCAAAGATATATATTGGGACAGAGAGAAAGAGAAGGCGTGGGGAAGGGGAGGAGAAAGTGGATTTCTGTATTTTGTGTATATCAAAGACTGTAGACGTACAAAAAATATGCAAGTAGCAAGAAAAGACTACCTCAGGCAAATATATTCTGAGATGGTTGAGCAAAGATATATATTTGGGACTTCTAGCCTGCAATTTTGACGCGAATGTTCTGGGAGTGGTATCACTGAGATTGGCCCCAGCCACATGATTTCCATGGTAATACTTTCGAATCACATTATGGTTCTCCACTGCTTCAAGCACTGGAACATTCTCTCTAGTTAACCAATCAAACTGATGAACTCCTTTTACTTCAATAATAGCAGGAGAGATAGGATTCAACGCAAACCAGGAATGCATGCCTGCATATGTTTTCTTGTCCGTGATGACATGGAAAACAATTTTTTCAGGATTTAGAGAAGACTGAACGGTAGAATTAACCACCACTGCTGCAGCCAGAATGTTATCGGTTGACACCACAAAATGATGGTACAAGTTGTCAGAAAGCAAAGGAAGTAATTCAGGAGAAGGCAATTGTTTTCGTGCATGAGCATTAGAGGAGTATTCATCTGTCAAACGCAAAGAAAGGCAGTGAAGGCCTTTTGGAACCGAACTGGCAGCAAAATGCTTATTGGTGAGCTCAGCAAACTTTGCTGCCTTGATCTCCTTTTCCAATCTCTCCATCTAGAAAAAAGAAAAATGGCACAGAAATTAGATTATTAAGCTTACGATTTGAAAACAATGTGGATATAAAATTCTAATAAGTATTTATCATCCCGGATTTCTATTCTCCTTGGAACAACTAAACATACACAAAATTTTGAATATAGTAGAACACCATATCCCCAGAACTAGAGCACTTTGTGCCCTACATTTTGTTAATGAAATTAACCACCCGTTTGGTTGAGTGGTATGAGACCAAGGAATGGGTTTTAAGGGTTAATAAAAGTGATTGTTGATGTTTGGAAGATTACTATCGGAATAAATTTATCGGTTTCGAGAGCCTCCTCTATGGGTTTTCTCATTACCAAGCAAAGTGGGGACTTTCAGTCCATTACCGTTTCTCCTGCATTTTTTGTCAACAAAAATTCCAAATCAAAATAAAATAAACTCCTTCTCTCCAATCTCCTGTGGTTCACCCACACCCCAACTCCGGCAATTCCTCTTCCTCCCTTACTCCATGTCTCCATCCTCGTCCCCCTTTCCATCTCGTTTTTCCAATCTCTCCATGCCATTCCTCTCTCTCCTATTTCTTAGGCCTCCCCCTACAACTTTGATCCTTTCC